AGGATGAGAAAGCAGTGTCTGCCCTTTCCTTCTGTCCCCACTCGCCCCGTGCCCCCCTCCTTGAATGGTTGCGTAGCACCTCTACTGATTCCAGGTTGGTTTCCTTGGGCAGTGTCAGTCTCTTTTACAACCCTCATGAGAGGGTTCCTTAGCCATTGCTCTGTGACCTGGGTTGTACTCAGTGACTGCTTCCACTTTCTTATTACGGTATAGTAGAACAGCTTAAGAGAGCAGGGTATTCCTGGAGCCAGCAAAAATAAGACTCCTGTTGGTAAGCAGACTCATGAAGTTGCAGAGGCACTAATTTATTGTTGAAATTAGCGTGGTGTTTTGTGTGGCTGTTCTGAATCTTGTTCCAGTTTATGCGCATAAGATTGGTTTTGGATTTTAAACAGTCCTGGGAGCAGGGAATGAGACATGAGATTCTTCATTCCAGCAAGAGTTTCAAGCTATTAATCTTGATTGCATGTAATAGTAGTAATAATTGAATTGTTAGTACCAACTGGAATAGCATTAACTGGAGCCCTGGAAGTTACACAGTTGTGAAAGATTTCACATTGGTCATTGTCACTGGAGACAAGTTACAGATGCAATAGGTCATTCTCCCCAAGAACCTGACAGTTATGAGTCCTGATAACATCCTAGTTAGTGACTCCTTTTTACTCTGCCCGATGGCAGCTAGGTACAGTTGAGACATGATTTGTAATTTTAGGTGTTCATGAGGTGCAGAGTTTGAGACATTTGAGTGTTAGTTTAATTCCCTTTTTCTTTTAACATAAATGTAAAAAAAAAAGTTGTAATTTTATAAGTTTATTTTTAAAATATTTTATGGAATTTTAAGAACAATATCTAAATATTTTAAAATATGATGGGCGTTTTATAAAATACACAGACTGATTCAGAAAGAGATTGGAGTAAAATTCTGAACAAATATGCTTGGGGAACTGAAGTTAGGGTGAGGATGTTACTGCATGTGGTAATTATGGCTTGCAGCATCTTCACACTGTTTATATGAGGTGAAAAGAAGCGTCTGTGACCTTCAAGGAGTGAAGGCTCAGAGTATGAACTTGACTGATAATTTCATACCCACATTTTGCATTTGTCCTGATGTAAAAGGAAACTGGAAACTTTTGAATAGTTGAGATAGGATTTTGCAATTTAGAAAGGTGCATTCTGTTTAACTTAAAACTATTTCAAGTATTGTTATGCATTTAAATTTGTCATTCCACCTGTAGAAACCTGATACTTGTGTTGTCTAAAGTTTCTGGACATAGTTTTGTTTTAGGAAAATCTCACTGACAGTAGGCCAGAGTAAAGTAGGTTCTGATTTTCCTTGTCACAGTATTTATGGATGTAGATTTGGAGGATTTTTTCATTCAAGGTACCACGTAATATTTTGTAGTGGTACTACTACTTTGCTGTAGTTTCAGTGTTTATATATAGTTCTCTGTAATCTTTTTACTAGCATAAACTACAAAGTCTGTAGCATTGTTTTTCTTACTGCTTTGTTCCTAAAATTTTTCTAATCAAAGAATTAGCATAATTCTTTAATTTTATGAAATGATCACTAGTTTGCACTGTGTGACTATGGAAATATTGGTAGGATTTTGGAGATGGATCTCCCTTGATAGAGGAAGTCAGCGAAAGAGCAGCTTTCTCCCACCTTTTCCCTGCTACTATTGTTGCTACTGAAACCTTGTCCCAAATTGAGTTACAGAGGAGGCCTTTTCACTCCTCCTTTCTTTTATCCTTTTGTCCATACAGTGCTCAGCTTGAGGAAGGGAAAATGGTACTTCAAGAGCATGTCACATCCTCTTGAAACAGTGCAGCTGCAGAGCTGAGTGCTGTGGAGTTGGGAGATTTGAGAAGTGAAAGGAGAGTAGCGTCTCCAGCAGTCTGTTATGAGGGCATGAGTGGGATGTAAGTGATGCACATGTTTATGCTGGCCCGCTGTATGGGATGAACATCACCTTATATACATACTATGCAAAGAATATAATTCTGTAAAGAAAGTTTGCTTGCATGAAAAAAAGCTTAATGGGGAAACAAGGCAGAGCTTGGGATTTCTGAAAATGATTTATTTCTTGTTTTGCATTTCAGAACACTGATGCTAAGTCTGTAAAAGGTGTAAGCGGTCAGCTTGGAGAGGGGCCTAGTGATGGACTGCAGCTGTCCAGTAGCCTTCAGTTTCTTGAAGATGAACTTGTGTCTTCTCCTTTACCTGATCTTACTGAGGATCAGCCTTTTGATATTCTTCAGAAGTCCTTGCAGGAGGCCAATATTACTGAACAGACTTTGGCAGAAGAGGCATATTTGGATGCCAGTGTAGGTTCTAGCCAACAGTTTGCACAAGCTCAGCTTCATCCTTCTTCATCAGCATCTTTTACTCAGGCTTCTAACGTTTCTAATTACTCAGGTCAGACGTTGCAACCTATAGGAGTTACTCAAGTGGTACAGCAACCTGTTGGAGCATCTTTTGCAAGCAATACAGTCGGTGTGCAACATGGCTTTATGCAACATGTCGGAATTAGTGTTCCCAGCCAGCATTTGTCTAATAGTAGCCAGATTAGTGGTTCTGGGCAGATACAGCTAATCGGTTCCTTTAGTAATCAACCTTCCATGATGACCATTAATAACCTTGATGGATCTCAGATTATACTGAAAGGCAATGGTCAGCAAGCACCTGCAAACATGAGTAGTGGCCTCTTGGTTCATAGACAAACTCCAAATGGTAACTCACTGTTTGGTAACTCAAATTCAAGTCCAGTAGCACAACCTGTAACCGTTCCATTTAACAGCACAAATTTTCAGACGTCATTGCCTGTCCATAATATCATCATTCAAAGGGGCTTGGCACCAAACTCTAACAAAGTTCCTATTAATATCCAACCAAAGCCTATCCAGATGGGTCAGCAGACTGCTTACAATGTGAATAACTTGGGAGTACAGCAACATCATGTACAGCAAGGGATTCCGTTTGCTTCTGCAAACTCGCCTCAGAGTTCAGTAGTTGGTCCTCATATGTCTGTTAATATTGTTAATCAACAGAATACAAGGAAATCAGTTACACCTCAGACAGTCAGCAATGCTGGTGGTAGTATTGTTATCCATTCTCCTATGGGACAGCCCCATGCACCTCAAAACCAGTTTCTCATACCTACAAGTTTATCTGTTAGTTCTAATTCAGTTCATCATGTCCAGACTATAAATGGACAACTTCTTCAAACTCAGCCTTCCCAACTGGTTCCTAGCCAAGTGTCTGCTGAGCATGTAATGCTCAACAGGAACTCTACAAACATGCTAAGAGCCAACCAGTCGTATTCAGGACAGATGCTGAATAATCAGAACACAGCTGTTCAACTTGTTTCTGGCCAGACATTCACAGCTCCTGGAAACCAAGTTATAGTAAATCATGGAACTTCACAAATTGTTGGTGGACAGGTGCCACTGCAGCAGGCATCACCAACGGTGTTGCATTTGTCACCCAGTCAAGCTAATGTTTCTCAAGGTAGATCGAGTTTTACTACGATGTCACCTGGGCAGTCGGCAGTCTCGAGCATGTCAGCTTCTAATCGATTTGCTGTTGCAAGTTCTTCTGGTTCAGTACATCCTAGCTTGGGAGCATCAGTTCAGTCTGTCGCATCAGGAGGAAGCTTTACTGGAGATCAGCTCACACAGAACAGAACTCAAGTTCCCATCAGTGCATCGCATCGTCTTCCAGCGTCCTCTTCCAAATCTGTCAGCACCTTTAGTCACACGTCGGTTGGAGTAACACAGCAACAGTTCGCCTTTGGTCAGGTATGAAAGCTGCTTGAGAATGTAGCCAAAGAAATGCTCCTAAGCTATGCTAAAATCTGGTTAGCAAAGTGTTAAAGTTGGTGTTAATACAGAGCACGTTAATTTTGTTAGTTTGTATTGTTACAATACAAATACTGTGGAACTACTGAAAATTACTGGAACCCAGAGACATAATTTCATTTGGTGTTTTCTGAAGTCTGTCACTTTGATTAATTCAGAAGATTTTGTTGGTGATCTCTAGTAACGATTTCAGCTCACTTTGTAGCACTAATCTATTTCTGCTCCCATTTAAAGGAATGGGCACTGTAAGATTTTACAACTGTGAGCTCTGCTGAACATCTTACCGTAAAGCTAGATGTAGAGGCTTGGGTACATTCTTAGCACTTACAAGTCTTTTGACCTCACTAAAAATGATGCATGTGTTTTCCAGGTTTGACCTATTCAGATTAGAGATGACAAGGTTTCTTGGGTTTCTCTTTGTTATTTACCATCCGAAATTATTCTGTTGAAACTGAACATTTTTGACGTTTTGCCCACTGTAGTTTTGTGTGTCTGGAGCAGTTAGAAGCTTTCAAATTTGAAGTAACGACAGAATACTTAAGAAAAAGTACCTCTTAAAGCAATTTATAAAAGCATAACATTTTAAAAATGTTTCCTTTAAAAAGAGGTCTGCTCAGTAATAATAATAATAAAAATAATCTGAATTTACTTTTAAGGTGAGAACTGGTCTTGTTTTGTCCAGGTGATGCAATTGCAGTATATATTCAACTCAAGTTTGTCTGTTTTCTTAAGTGAACTTCCAAACTCTGCCAATATTTTAACTCAGTGACTTGTCACACAATTAGCAACAAGCTATTATTCCACTTCTGTCCTTTATTTGCTTTTGGTTTTTTCCTTGGTCATTCTAAAATACTGAATAATAACTGTCTCAGAATGCATTTGCCCTAATTATCTTAGATCTTTCTCTTTTCTCAAAGGTGTAATAGGTTTTGGGTTTTTTTTTAACCAAGACCAAAATGGGCAATGAAATAAAGTGTCTTAGAAAATAATGTGTATTTAGAAACTAAGGGTGAACCTGGTGTAGAACCACATTTTTAGTCTTTGCCAGAACTGCTAGCACAGGTTGTAGCGTTTTGTTTGTAGATGAGTAGTTTGAGGCCTGCCTCACTTTCTCTTTGTGTGTCCACATCTTCCTCTTTGTAGGATATGTGCTGGGTCAGTGAGTTTCAGCAGTTACAAAAGCATAATGTTTCTTACTGCTATAAAAGATAATTTTTTTTTTGTTCTGAAATTTCAGAGCTAAAAATGGGAACTAGAGAGAACAAATTCTGCTGTCTACTAGTATCTTTTTAGTTTGTTTGTACTTGCATTTTAAGTGTTGTACTGTGTCATAAACCACATCATTTAGTTGCTAAACACTGGACAGTTTGTTCCTCTGTGTATTTCTTTTGTTTTGGAGACAGCTTATTTAGTCATCTTGCAGTCTTGAGACTCAAAAGCTGAGCTTTTTGAGGGCACTTGTAGTGGTAAATCATAGTTCTTCTCTAATGTAACTGGTGTATATTTGTACTGTTAGTGTAATTTCTCTTTCTCTCTGATGTACTTTATAAAATTCTTGAAGTTAGGAGGAATTGAGGTGTCTGACATTTCACCACTTAGGAGTTAGAGGTTGGAAAAGGATGCCTGGTACTGAATTTTAGTTGCCTTTTTTGCTTTTTTTCCTCTGAAGTTTTCAGTAAATATTTGACTGTGGGTTGTTTTTTTGTTTGTTGTTTTTTTTTGTTTGTTTGTTTTGTTTTGTTTTTTAATGTATGTGACACAGAAAAAAGCTATGAACCAGACATCACCAGTTTCTGCATCGAAGACCCAGGATAATTTGAGACAGCCTCAGCTAACAAGTCTCCTGAGCAACACACTATCAGGTCAACTAAGGTCTTTTTAAAATAATTTTCTTAATTTTCTCCAGCAGTAGAAATTCATTGTTCTTTGATTTGTCAGACTTGCATTGATGGCTCGTGCTGATGGGGTTCTAAAGGTTATCAGGATTTTATTTTTAGAAGAACGCAAATTAAATTTTTCAGTATTGAGTGTGTGCTTTTATTTTTCCCAACTATGGCACTTCATTTTGTAGAGTGAAAAACTGAATCACCACAATAAGCAATTATTTCTCCCCTCTATAAAATCCAAAACTCTTGTTTAATTTTTCTTACTTGTTTTTAGCTTAGGAAAATAGAAATAAGTAATTTCCAAAATATGGACTTCCTCTAAAAATTCTGTGAAACTTCTAGACCCTCTCTAGTGATGGCTGCTTCAGATACGGAGGAAAGAAGAATAGTGATTACAAGGTTTATATGCAGACTGTCATCACTTGATTTGTTTTTGAATGTGTCACTTTCAGTTAGAATAGCTAATGCATTGTTTGTGGCAGAATACTGGGCTTTTCAAGAAGCACCATGCTACTAAAAGAACAAACCCAATATATTCAAGAGCAGTAACCTTCGTGTTCTCTTTGTACCTAAGTAACCCCCTTTTGCATAAGGTTCAGTAATCTGTCTGCTTTTTTCTTTTTCCTTGTGTACTATTACGTGCAGGTTGTTCAGTTCTCTACAGTCAGCACAGTATGGGGTTTTTGGTGGAAAAAAAAAATCCTTCTTTGTGCTGGTTGTAACGTAGCGTGGCTGATAAGATTATGTTTGAATTCCTGAGCAAGGCAGTTGGAGGAAGTCTGCCCATCTAGAAAATCTAGAGGCGGTGGGGAGGGGGGAGAAGAAAAATTATGCCTGCTGTCTAAATACTTTCAGGAGCTCTAGAAAAAATTGGTTTATATGCTCGAGGGAGGGTTAGTATTGAAAAGCTTGATAAAATGTAGTGTATGATTTTCAGTAAATTGTTAGGACACTATACTTAATGGTACTTGAATTTCTTTTTACGTTGCAGTACTATGGTAGGAGAAGATTTATACCTGAGGATTTTTGCAGTTTGCAGCACAAAATGTCAGTTCTGTTTCATTTTTATGAACCAGTTTCTCCCCAGGGTAGTTGCACTAATGCTTTTAAGCATATGAAACATGTATCTTTCTCCTAAAAGCTAAAAACTCAAGTAAAATTAAAAGGATAGGTATATGAAATTGTCTTCCTCTTGCTCAGGAAGAGAATGACAGAGTCTTTTTAACTTAATTTTTATAGGACAGGACTCTGGAGGAAAAATCATACAGCAGTCTCTAGGAACCACACAGCCACAAGAAAAAGTAATAGGATCATCATCAGTTCAGCAGAGTATACAGGTAAAGAATCCTTCTATTTATATGTTTTCCTTTCCCTTAATGTTTTAGTGAAGTTAGGGATGTTTCAGCTTCACATTGATAGTTTAGGAGTCCTTGCAGGTTTTTTTAGAGTATATGAAGTCACTCAAGCTTGTCAAATTCTACCTTGACTTAATAAATGTTGAGTATTTTGCAAATTGATATTCTGAATGCTGTTTTGAGATATAATTCAGCAAGTGGAGTCTTAACTGTACTCTTCCCTGAAGATAATTTCGTATGACATAGCAATTCCTCATTGAGTTAGACATAAACTAGACAGTTACAGTTAGACCTATTATTATCATTACTTCTTACAAACTCAGCCATTCTCTAGCTGATTGGGAGGGGATGGTTTGTGAGAAATAGCAAAAAAATTCTGTCTGGTCTTTGTTTTATTCTTTACTGCATTGTCTTCTTTCCCCAGTGTCTTTTTTTTTAACCACCAAAAGTTCTCCTATATGTGGCAACTATGTACAAAAATTTAACGCTACGTCCAGGATTTGGGGCTGGAAGGCAAGGCCAGCATTTTTGGAGAGAGAATACAAGAAATTCTGGAGGGAGGAGATAATTGTTACATTCATGGACTGAGTAGCTGAAGGCAAGAAGCGAGGGTTTGAAGTAGACTTGAAAGTGTGGGCTTCATTGTGGATGGAAATAAACTGCACAGTCATGGAAGAAAACAAGGGAGGATGTGATTTACAATTTTTGTTTGTTACTGCAAATGTATTTGCCAGTGTAGTGTGACATGAATGTTTTTCCCTGTCTTGCTGATGTCCAAGTAGAGCAGAAGATACTCACAGTAGTGCTCCATTACGAGTTTAGCCTGGTTTTGTAGTTGTTGGTCAGGTGTTCATTATCCTGCGGTGAATGATTTCTGTGCTGTGAAGCTAGAGACTTTTTGCCCAGCAAGTACCATTACCATGTGCCTGCTTCATGCTGCTACTATTTTAAGAAGGGTGCTCTGTACCATGTGCCTTTTTTTTGTTCCTTCTAACAGTGTTATAGTTCAAAAGAGCTTTCATGTAGTCTTTTTTTAAATCATAAATAACTTTTGTACTGTGACCAATTTCATTATTAAGACTAGTTGACTAAAAAAACTTAACGTCTCAGCCTCACATCATAGGATGGATAGTGTTCTCTTGAAAAACCTTGGCTTCATAAATGTCTAAGGAAAGGAGAAGATGATGTAGATCTGCCTGATGGGTATATCTATAGCATCAAAACTGAAACAGAATTCCTAGAATCACTTTCACCCCCTGCCCAGCCACCGTGGCTTTTGAGAATTCAAGTTCACAGCATTAGCCTGCTTTGCTGACAGATACTCCAGTCCATCAAAATCAGGCAAGATGACATCAGCTGAGAAATGCAGACAGTTCATGAGAGCAGATTTCTTTGGAAAAGTTTTTAGTTGTACCTTTTCTTCTTTTCACCTGTGAAATTTGATAATTAGCTGTTTTCCTAGTGAAGCATGTGTATGCAGAATTTACCTACAAACAGCATTTCAGACCTTTGATTAATGTAAGAGAAATGACTTCCTTATTTCATTGATGCAGTGACTTGTGAAAATAGGAGGTAGTTGAAAGTGTTTGTACTTCTGTGGTGGTTACATTTAATATTGGTGTTGTACTTAATTGGCAGAAATAAATGCTGAAACTTAGGCTTTGCAAAGGAGGAGGTATATTGTAATTTGTCTTTTATTTTGAACTTAGGTGGATGGCCATTTAGTTGGACAGAAAAGGCCTGCTGCTAAACAGTTAACTAAAGGAGCTTTGTAAGTTATTCTTTTGTAATTTTGTTGCAGATATTTCCTCTAACCTTCATTTCTTTTTATTTTTTGTCAATGTATAAACTTCTGTTAGAGTATGTGTTAATTATATATCATTAATTTTTCTTGTAGTATTTTACAGCAGTTACAGAAGGATCAAGTGCATGCTGTGACTCCAGATAAAAGTCGGTTCAGATCATTAAATGATGCAGTTCAGAGACTCCTTTCATACCATGTGTGCCAGGGATCACTGCCAACAGAGGAAGACTTAAGAAAAGGTAATTATCTTTTTAAAAATTGGCAGTGCATTTGTAGTCAATGTATTGAGAGAATTCTTTATGTAAGTTAGAGCAATAAGAAAGAGAATATTTTAAATTTTTTCCAGCTTACTGAACGTTTTGGTTACTGAAGAACAATATTTGAAAGTATACTCTTGTCTTTCTAGTGGACAGTGAATTTGAATCTGTAGCTACACAGCTTCTGAAGAGGACACAGGCTATGCTGAACAAATACAGATGCTTGCTTATAGAAGATGCAATGGTAAGGCATATAATGCAGGTACATTTTATGTTGATAGGATGTGATTCAGTTTGTTTAAAAAAAAAAAAACATCTACAGGAAGGTGAGAACTAGCATTACAGTTCATTTTGTTGATACTATTCATCACCTTACAAAGGTGATAAATATATGCATGAAGGTTTTTTATATATATATATATATATATCGCCAGTGTACTTACTGTTGCCCCAGCAGTATCAGTGGCCAACCTGCATTTTTAAGTGTAGGCACACACCTTAAAAGCGGTGAAATGGGTTGAGTTTGTATTTCACAGTGCCCCTATGTAAGTTCCATAGATGTTGAAGATGCGTGAACTTCTGCTCTCTGCTTTTACTTTGCTCTAGCACTGACCAGGCTGTGGTAGTCAGGCAGGTGATTTCTTTTTATTTCTGTGGGTGATAAAGCCTGAAAGAATGTTGAGAATCTCCATTCAGAGGACTTCAACCATATTATAATTGGAGCCAAATCATATTTCAATTTAGAAAGTCATTACTTCTCCTTATAAATTAGGTGGAACCTCACATTTTCATCAGAAATACTTTTGATTTAAGTGCTTTCACAATCCTTGGTATGAGGTAAAAAGAAAACTGACAAAGTTACTTAAGAATGTATTTTACAAGGATCAGGAAATCCATTGTGGCTTCGGACATGCTAGTTTTCAAGCCTGGAAAAGTTTTGCATCTGAGTATAATAGAAATTTAAATCACTCTGCTTTAGAAACAGTAATATGTAATACAAGTTTTAGAATTAATATGATTTTGTAAGCTAGCAGTCCCGTTAAAAAAATATACTGACCATCAAATATGTGCAAGTAATTGCAGGTACAAGGCAGGAGTGGAGGTTAAAATCTATTCTTTTAGCATCTGGTATGTTGTTTGGAAAATCCCATTTGGTCATTTTGAAGAGGTTATTTCACATAGTGTTCAGGTTTGGGACTAGTTGCCTGTGTTTTGGCTTAGTAGCCAGTGAACTTTCTTCTGTCATGGATGGATCGACCTGGCTTGAAGGAAGTATCAGCAAAATGCAACTCAACACCAACTAGTTAGAAGGATGGGAGAGAAGTGCAGGGAAGAAACATGATGATAGGATGGTTCCATTGCAAGGTTTTTGATGTTTCTCTCTCTTAAAGGAGAACCAATACTGTATGATGCAAAAAAATTCTGATGTACAGTGGTAAACATACTCTGTTCTGAAAAGGTACAATTCTTAATATTGGAATAGTAATTCCTTGTTTAAAAGTCTTTAACAAATAAAATGTACCATCAAATGTGATGGTATTTTATGGTCGAGTTTTAGTAGTGGTTGGGGTCACAGTCAAGATTGTTGAAGAAGCTGTTGAATTGTGAACATTCTCCACAAACACATGATGAAAGACATGCTTTTTCTTTGAAGAGTGACTAAGCTGTACCAACATACGAGTGACTACAGAGGTTGTTTTTTTCCTTTTCCTTTTCCTTTAGCGGATAAATCCCTCTGCAGAAATGGTTATGATTGATAGGATGTTTAACCAGGAAGAAAGGGCGTCTCTGACGCGAGATAAGCGTCTTGCACTAGTGGATCCTGGTAAGTAATGATTAACTTCTGAATCTTAAAAAAACAGCATAAATGTAGAGTGTTTAAAAACGAGGCACTGATTGCTTGGGATTCTGGTAATCAAAATACTGAATGAGTAGTTGCAAGATAAATTTTAATAACTCCCAAATTCGACTGTGTAGAGATGCTGTAGAGTTGAAGGCAGTTACTTGGGGAAAAAAAAAATATTTGGCATGTTTGTCAGAGAAATGTTTCTTTTGACAATAGTCATGACTCCTGCACAGTCTCAGTTCCAGGAGGGAAGAATCTGGGAGTTTGCTGGCAGTCAGAAAGAACACTGCTGTATGAAGCATGAATACTTCTGTTCATCATAATGAAGTGCTGCTTTTGGAATGTCATGGCCACGTAAATGGCAGCATTTTTACCAGGCTGTTGTTGAATGTAGCAGTAGAAACACGTTATTTGTGTAAGATAACAGTTACTATTTGTTTAAATGTTCTGCATATTCTGCATATTTTAAAACATACTCAGAGGATGTTTTGAAGAAGGTATTAGTCTTCCTGGGACCGTATTTGCCTATTTAGAATGCTGGGAAGTGCCCTTAGTCTGGTTTTACAGTGCAGATACGTGCATAGTATGCTGATGAATTTGGTGATAATCTCCTACACTGGATGCAGCAGAACACTTAAGCACGTGTATTTCTCTTAGACATGAATCTGTAGGCTGTGGATGTTACTTGAATTTTACTACTCAGAAACTACATTGGAGTGTCTGTTGTTTTGATGTGTAGGCAATTTAAGTAAAATGTTGTTACTTAATTTTCAGATGGTTATCAAGCCGATTTTTGTTGTTCTGCCAAACAATTTGATAAAACAACTGAAGAAGCACAGTCCAGCAAAAGTGACCATCAGTCGAGCAAAACGTTACCTTCTCGAAGTCAGACTACCAAAACCCAAGCCAGAGACCGACCAAAATCCAGCTCAGCAGAGACCACAAATCACAGTAAACTTCCTCTAGTGCCTAACAACATTCTGACACCACAAGAAGGAATAGCTTCTACTAAAAAATCAGAGAGCCTCACTAAAGCTTTAAAGTTTGAAAAAGCTAATT